CTTAAAGCAGATAAGAAATACACCCAGATGCTGGAATCATCCTAGGAAATTTGATGTTCTGTTGGAAGCATAACTAACAAAACAAACTCATTTTAAATTCTTTTTCTCTGAAATAATCACAGTTTTTATTCACAGAGAAATTCGAACTCATACAGCTTTTTTTTTTGTAATTCAATTTTGTTTCTACCTTAATGTTAAATTTGAAACTCTTGTTGAAACTGTAACCTACCATGAGGTAATTGCCAGAAAGTTATAAAGAAAGCAAAACAGTAGTAGAGTATTTCTGCCAGAATGCTAGCCAACTTGAGAACAAGAGATACAGAAGAGAAAACTAAGTTTGGGTGAGCACTACCTAGTGGCAATTTACAGCTGGTTTTACCTTCTATATAGTCCTCTGCAACATAGCTATGCTCATGCAGTATTTCCTCCATGCGACTAAGAGTGATGGCAGCAAAATGCCCTGGGTATTTCAGCTGAAGGAGGCGTTGGAGATAGACAGCTGCTTGACACCCTCCAAGATTAATGCGTTTGCAGTTTTTAGCATCCAGTCTGAAAATGCAAAGATACACAAAGGACTGTGGAGAGATCCACAAGTTCAGCATAAAACAGACCTCCTGCTTCCCCTGGGGTTATTTACTTTCTGATACTGTCAAGTAGACATGAATATTCCCAAATATTTCAAGATTCAGTTACCAGAGGATCTAATACACCTGCTGTTCTCAGACAACAAGCATAATCATGGCTTTGTTTACCGCAAATACTTTCTGAAAGGCTCTGCTCTGCTTTAAATAATAATAAAAAAAGCATTAAATAATTTTGGCTACAGCAAGGAAACATTCATTTTTTAGAAGGCAAGTGATGGCTAGTGGAGCCGAAAGTATTTCCTTTAACTTCTGCAATATTTCATGACCATGACATACCTTTAGTGTGCTTTTGAGCCCAGAACCCCCCCCGTGTGCTGGGCTGCACCCCCAGAATGCAAGCAGCAGGTCGGGGAGGGGATTCTCCTCCTCTGCTGTGCTCTGGGGAGACACCCCTGCAGTCCTGATCCAGCTCTGGGGCAGCAGCACAAGAGGGATGTGGAGCTGTTGGAGCAAAGCCAGAGGAGGCCACGGAGCTGCTGCGAGGGCTGGAGCAGCTCTGCTCTGGAGCCAGGCTGAGAGAGCTGGGCTGGGTCAGCCTGGACAAGAGAAGGCTCCTCAAGGGGAGACCTTAGAGCAGCTCCAGTGCCTAAAAGGACTACAAGAGACCTGCAGAGGGGCTTTGGACAAGGGCCTGTAGGGACAGGCCAAGGGGAATGGCTTGAACCTGCCCGAGGTGAGACTGAGATGAGCTCTTAGGCAGAAGCTCTTCCCTGTGAGGGTGCTGAGGCGCTGGCACAGGGTGCCCAGAGAAGCTGTGGCTGCCCCATCCCTGGCAGTGTTCAAGGCCAGGTTGGACACAGGGGCTTGGAGCAAGCTGCTCTGGTGGAAGGGGTCCCTGCCCATGGCAGGGGTGGGAACCGGATGAGCTTTAAGGTCCCTTCAACCCAAACCATTCTGGGATACATTTTTTTAATGCCTGAGCTTACTTGGAGTAGATACCCCCTTCTACTTTTGCAAGTAAAGATCTACACATGAATAATAACTAAACATACAACATGTACAGGGCCAGCACTGCTTCTTCAATTCAAAATTCAACAGAACTCGTCAAAATCCACAGACCTAGTTTTAACTCATCAGTATAAAGCCCTGATAAGAACTTCCACTGCAGGAGCTGGAATACTGAATGCTAGAGGAAAGGGTATCTGCATCACTTGAAGAGTCAACGGCTGACAAAGAAGGGCTGCACTGTACTCAAGACACCAAGAACTCACTCACCTGCCTTCCAAGACTGGCAAAATGTGGGTACACTGATAACCTGAAGATATCACCAAACCACTGCAGCGCCAGTTCTGACTTCTGTTTCGGTAAAAACTGTACAAGCTATCTATGCCATAGGACACTTTTGGCACTTGGTAACATTCGAAGAGCAGCTCTGACATCATTTGTCTCGAATAGAGAGGATTGCATACTGCTTCTGTCAGAACGATTGGATGATCAACACAACCCTGTAAGGGAGAAGAGAAAAATAATAAAGGTATGAAGGGAAATCATAGAATCTTTAGGATTGGAACGGACCTTGATACCATCTAGTTCCAACACCCTGCCATGGGCAAGGACACCTCACCCTAAGAGCCCAAGGCTCTGTCCAACCTGGTCTTGAACACTACCAGAGATAGAGCATTTACCACTTCTCTGGACAACCTGTGCCAGACCTCACAGTAAAGAGCATCTTCTTTATATCTAACCTGAGCTTCCACTGCTTCAGTTTGAACCCACCACCCCTTGTCCTATTGCTACAGCCCCTGATGAAAAGACTGTCTCTGGCATCCTTGTAGCCCCCCTTCAGACACTGGAAGATGCTCTGAGGTCTCCCCACAGCCTTCTCGTCTCCAGGCTGAACAGCTCCAGTGTTCTCAGCCTGTCTCCATACAGAAGGTGCTCCAGCCCCTGATCATCCTCGTGGCCTCCTCTGGACTTGCTCCAACAGTCCTTATGCTGGGGACACCAGAACTGCACAGTGCGCCAAGTGGGGTCTCATGAGAGCAGAGTAGAGAAGCAGGATCACCTCCTTTGATATCCAGGGATACTTATCCTTGCTTCTCCTTTAAGCACCAGCAAGGATTCCTCCAAACCGCAACAGGAAAGGGTTTTCTGTGCAGGTTATAAATCATGTAAGTTAAATTATATCTAGTGCTAAAGGGGGCAAAAAAGAGCCCTTATCTATATCAAGGCTTCCAATGTTCATTCAACCAAATAATAAACTCCTAAAGGCAGAGGAGAATGGATTTTTAAAGCATATGCAAATTATTAAAAATGTAAATCTATGCAATGAGAAGGTGAAGCACATGTGACAACTGGAGGAAAGCAGCTGAGCACCAGGCAAAGCTCAAAAAGGCAAAAGTCTTCATGATCTGAGGAGCAACTCTCAGTCCTCCTGTGGATACGAAACAAATAATCAAACCCAACAATCTTTAATGTCCCTCTCAAAAACCAGCCGTGGACACTGGCTCTTGGCCACAGCCTGACAAGATGCTGCAGTCCAAACCTCTCGTCCCGTAGCTCTAGCTTCCCACTCTCCTTTTATTACAAAGCTATGAAGCTCCGAGCACAGCGGAGCTCAAACGGCACCCCCGGGGCGCGCCGGGCCAGGATCACCACAGCAGGAGGCCGCCCAGGGCCGCGTGTCTGCCAGGAGGGGGCAACGCAGCGCCCCGGGACGCTCCGGAACCCGCACCCACGCAACCCGCCGCTGCCCCCCCCGCCCCGGCAGGGCTCCAGAGCCTGCCCCGCCCGGCCCTACCTGCGAGCTGACGCCGAGGCGCTGGAAGACGTGGTCGAGGAGCAGCTCCTGCAGCTCCAGCTGCACGGGCACGTTGCGGTCGAAGGGCGAGCGGAGCAGCCAGCGCAGGGGCTCGGGGCTCCCCAGGTCGTTGCCCACCTGCGTCTCGGCGCCGGTCCCGCCGCGGGCCCCGCGGTTGCGCGCCGCCAGCGAGCGGAACCGCAGCAGCGGCTCGGCGGGGACGGCGGGGTCGGCGCAGGCCCAGCCTGCCCGCGTCTGGAAGGAGCCGTTGTCGATCACCAGCGGCACCGGCTGCGGCGTCCGCACAGCCGCGCCGGGGTCCAGCACCGGGTCCGGGGCCCAGCGCACGTCGCGGAAGGCGAACACTCGCGAGGCCGCCGCCATGGTGCGACTCCGGCTCCCTCCGGCCGGGAACGCGGACGCCGACACTCGTTCCGGGCGGGGCGAGGGGCCTCGGCGCGCTGTGACCCCGCCGCCTCTCACCGGAAGTCTGACACCGGCCTCGGGGGAGCGAGCGGCTGCGGCCGGGACGGCGACCGCGGCGTGCGCTGGCCCCGCGCCGCGGCACGAAGGGCGCCCCCTGCGGCCGGGGCGGAGCACGAGAGGCGAGCCAGAGCCAGAGCCTGCCCCGGGCCGCGGGGCACGGCGGGGGCAGGGCGGGCCGAGCCAGCCCCGACCTGAGGTCACCGCTGCCGGGTTGGGATCCGTTGTTGCTGCCGCTGCCGCTGCCGCTGCCCCTGGTGGTCAGAAGCGCCACCGACCCGCAGCCCCCGCTGCTGAAAGTGCGGCTGCAGGTACTCAGCCTTGTCGAGGCTCAGGGCGTTGATGGCTTTTCTTGTTTACCCAAGGCACAGAATAGGGTTAATAGCTGCTCTTATCACACAGCGATACTAAAGCGTTAGTAACGTGAGTTAACCAAAATTCGCAAAGTTCGTTTAGATCTTGGGGATTAAAAGTCTAATTTCAAGGGACTGCCGCCACTGCATAAAAACACACAGGCACACAAGCAAGGAATTAACTGCATACAACTTCTAATGTGCACTTAACATAGCTGCTCTCTTCTGAGGGGTACCAAGAGCTACAGAAAGGATTAATTTAGCCAAACAGCCACCTGTGAGGTGATAGATAATGGCTTTATTTTATTAAAGCAGAAGCATTCTGATGAATGTCAAGTTACTGAAGTCATACTGTCAGTTCCTACTTTGATCGCCACTGAACTGCTTAATTATTCAGCAATACATTAGACACATATCCTGTAAAACATGCTAACTCGCCTTTCTTCAGGGAAGGGAGCTAGAAAGGCAATTAAAATACAGAGGTGTCACTGCCCGTGGCAGGGGCTGGAACTGGATGAGCTTTGAGTTCCTTCCAGCCCAGATCATTCCATGATTCTGTGATAGCCATCGCTGCAGGGTTGATCCTGTTTTACCAACTTTTCAAAAGCAACCTTGGCTACCTAGTTTCAGAGTAGCTGAAGCACTTGGTTATCTCCCCTGTATAAACAGACCTTTAACTATTATTTTAACATAAGCCTTGAGAGCTTCCTAGCTTGTGTTTATCCTTTAAATAGCAGCCAAAGAAGGAAAATCAAATCAGATGTTCTCTCAGTTGCTGTCCCTTTTGCTAACCATGCAGAGTATATCAGCTGTCTGCTTGTGATTAACACAGTGATGCAATGAGAGTTATTAAAAGATAAAGCAGAGCAGGCAAGCTAGTCTAAACTTAGTGTAACCTGAAGCAAGCAATGAAGTATCCTGTGGTTCCTTTGGTGAATGAGCTGACCTTTCCTCTGCTTTTCTTCTGGTTTTGTTTGCCATTTGTAATGCTTTTGATCCTAATGATTATCTGGCTACAGTTTCTCCTTAATGAAGGTAAGTTCTGCAGCTGATCAGATAAAATGCTCCAGCCTGCTTCATGTTCAAAGCACTCTGCTAGCTATTTTTAGACTAATGCCACTTGTCACAGAAGGAAAGTAAAGAGCTTTTTTAGTACTGTTGGTAGCAAACTCAAATTATTATGCTTTTCTGTTAAAAATGCTTATAAGACAAGCTGCTGCTGCTGTTCTTCCTTACCCTCTCCCTTCTTCTCACAGGTAATTTAAGAAAGCTAACCTCACCCTCTAACTTTGTGCACTTTCATTACAGTTCTCTTCTAATTCTCTTTTGGGGGTGGGGGGTGGTACCAGGAGCTGTTAAGGGATTCTTTTATCAGTACTGATAGAAAATCTGTGGAGGGAGCAGGACATGCATCTTCATTTATTTGTGTATTTTGCTCCTCTTTCCTGTCCATCACTGATTCTTATTTCTAATATGTCCGTAACCGATAACAGGCTTTGGTTTAGGTTAATAATAGGCTTGTTGATGTACTCAGGAGGATAAAGCCTTACTAGCTTGCTCTGATACTGAAGCATCCTGGCTGAGGAGTCAAACCTAAGTTCAAAAACAGTGATTCTGCCTTTGCAGAACAGCTGTACAAAGAAAAATAAAAATTAGAATTAAAATTAGAATTTTACTTTAGCAAGCTTTAACTTTATTTGGTGCCCTCTATTCTTAATAATGTGGTAGCCAGTCCTGTGATAGGTCACACAGTGAGGCACAGCAGAGCAGGAGGTACTCACCTCAGTAATGATTTGTACTCCTTCCTCCTTACCCATCCTGCATATGTGTTCACCATGGATTTTTTACTTTCAGCTCCCATTTTGCAGGTTTAGCAGACTGCTGATGCTATTAACTGCTCTGCTTCCTTTAGTAGTGAAGTATCTTCCCTCTACACTCTCACATGTGCCCTTGTGGGTAACCAAGAACAGTAATTAGAAGGTGCAGGTTACAAGAGGCTGGGCAGTGTGCAAGCTACCCTGAGCAGCACAGGCATGGCTTACTGCTCACATCTGAAAAGCAGAATAAAATACCTATCTTGCATAGATAAAGGATAGCTATGCCACGTACGCTTCAGTGTCAGCTTTTTGCCTGGGCAGAGTAACTCTGGAATCTCTTGATGTTTTAAATAAGACTTTCAGGTTATGCTTAACTACGTTTACCTTCACATTTTCTGGCCCTATAGTGACTGTTATTAGCACCACACCTCCAACAATTTCTGTAAATGCTCTAAATTCCATTTGAATCAATAAAACTAAGCCCATTACTAGATTTTTACATAGTAGTGTGTTTACAGGATTAGAACATCATCATGTTTCTCAGTCACGCTTAAGAGGGAAAATTAAAATGGTGTCCTTTTTAATAGTTTCCTAGTTAATTCAGTTATCTGCTTATTTTGTGCTAATTTACAGCAGGCACAAGTAAAAAGTGGTGGGTGTTTCAGCTCCTTTAACATAGTTGCTGATTAAGAAAATTAGTAAAAGTCAAACACTTGTACAGGCCTCTTAATGCCTACTTGGGTTTGGAAATCCTTTATTTCAGCTGAAAAAGATTCAGAAGAACCTTGCTGAGCTCCTAGATAGAACATGCAAGGCTGGCAGCTAGATTGAAGCCATGTGCAAGTATTTTACACGTCCTTTTTAAACCTCTTTCTAGCACAGATGCCCAGTGCAGAAGAAGTAAACAAACAGTCTTCTGATGAGCCTGATTCTAAATCTGAGGTTGAACCAACAGAGGAAGAAAACCAGAATGACACATCTAGTATAGAAATGGAAGAGGAGGTGCAATCATCTGCAGGAAAGTTGAGGTCTAAGCCTGCTTATCTGAGTTCAAATCCGGAAAGCCAAAAGCCAAGTCTTTTTGCTATAATCTCAGACAGCTGGTTTCAGAGCCAGAAGATAAAATGTTCCCATATTGAGAAGAGCAATTTCTGTAACACCATGATGGTGAGTAGGGTCACCAGACTACCTCTTTGTGTATCTGCCACTTTTGTTTCTCAGCTGATTTTTTCCACCACTGCCTGACTCCCTGGCTTCTTGGGTAAGAGAAAGCTGCAAGATCAGTTTCTGCTTGCTTAATGACTAACAAGGAATTTCTTTTTGTCCTCCCAATTTGGAATTACTCTTGTTGTAGACAAAGTGAAGGTAACCCAGAAGTCCACAAAATTGTGTGTACTGTATAAATATATGAATAAATATTTTTAAAGTAACTGAGAATTGTATTTGAAACAGTGACAGTTGTTACCTGTTTCTCCAAAAGAAGAAGTTCAACTCAGCTGCATACAGAAACTTTCCTGGTACGTGTGGCTGATATTAGCTGACATTGTGTACTCTTAAAAGCAGCTTTAGATTTCTTACAGTGGACTATGTGACTAAAAATGTATTTCACTTACTTAATAAGAGCTGAAGCCAGGAGTCACTTGGCAGACATGACAGTCCCAATCCTCTTAGGCTTTACACAAATCCCAGAAGATCTATTTGAAGCCATGGAGGAGCTTAGTGTCTTGTGTGTCGTCTTGTTCCCTGTGCCTTGACTGTATGTTCCTTTGCAGAAGGGTCTCAGAAGGGAAAGCTGGCCTGTGCCTCCACTGTCACTATTCACAGTCCTGTCTCCTCATTTACATTGCTGGGATTTTTGAATTGCAGCAACTGAGGTACTCGCATTTACTTCCACCAGTTGTGCTGGAGGGGTAACCTTTGTTAGGCCAGGATAGTGAAGGACTGGTATCACCTTAAATTGCTTCAGTTGTTTGACTAACCCTGAAGCTGAGCCTTAGCATGGAATCAGTAATTTCTCAAGTCAGAAGATTTTTGGTACCATTAACTCCACCATGGCAGTACCAGGTGAGTGTAGTAACACTGTTGTTTAAAACTGTTGATCAAAGGGTAGAGAAACAATGTTAAGAATGAGCCTGGACTTACCTAAGGTACCATTTGGTTCTTCTAGAGCTCTTTGTGCATACAAGTAAGGATTTGAACACAGCAGCTTGAAGAACTGGTATTTAAACTTGTCTCTCGTAGAACTTAATACTCATACTGAAAATCTTGCTTGGGTGGGTGAGGGAAGGGAACAAGCATTTCTCTCAAATCATTTATATCAGACTGAAAGCTGAACCTCCTAAAAATGTCACTGCCATGACAATTCTGTTCCTCTTTTTCTTCATCAGCTATTGTGTACCATGCTTTCTTCTCTCACCTGGAACTTTGTCTGCCAGTTGCTACAGATCTCTAACGTCCTGAGGATTCAAGTGCTGCCATCCTCTCTGATTATCTACATGGCTCAGCTGTTTGTTTTGCTGAGTCAAAAACTTGTGAAAACCCTGGGCTCCCTGAGGCTGAAGAGCAGGGGGCTGTTGGCTTCAGTCTTGGGGAGGAAACTGGAGCGCAGTGATGGTCAGAGAACCACCTCTGCACAGTATTGACTGATTAAATATTAAATGGATGACAGCATCCAGCCTCTTGTGCAGTGCTTGGGTATGTGCTCTGCTCCCCTCCCGCTTCACAGAAGGACGAGTTCCTCCTTTGTAAAGACTAGTAATGCTCTCACCACTATTAACCTTCCATTTCAAACAAGATCAAGGCAAGCGCTCTCACCAGCCGTTCTTACCCAAGCTTACATGCAGTACAGCTCAGTGATTACTCATGCCGCACTTTGCACTTTCCTGATCTCCAACTTGTCAGTTCTCGAAGTAGGAAACAAAGTTTCTAAGAAACGAAACACATTTACCTCCAATTAACAAGAAATAATTAAGCCCTTCGCAGGTACTGAGCATGCATTTCTTCTGTTTCTGTTTGGAATGGGCTTGGTTTTTCAGCGTAGCTGGCAGGCTGTGGTGAGTTTAGATTACCGCTTGGAGGCACTTGACAACGACTTGATTTAAGGGACCACACTGTGGTTGGTGGGACAGGGATGAGCCGTAGTTTTGTGGCCTAAGGGTTTATCCAGTCATTGGGCTATGAACAGAGCAGCTCTGTGCGCGCATTCAACAAACTTTGTTTAAGGAGGACCTGAATTAGGAGGTCACATCCCAGAGAGCACGTTACCACTCGTGACAGATACCTCTGCTCACCTCGTGAAGCAGTGTCCCTCAAAGGCTGGCTGTGTGACAGTAGCCGCCTGCACTGATGATGAAGCGTGCCTTGGTTATGTTTGCTCGTCTTTCCCTCCTCCTCCCCTGAATTCCACAGGTCCCAATACCCGTCCGGAGCTGTGTGCATTAAATAGAGCTTGTCCGCGGCTTTATTTTCGCAGGTCCTTTACGTAGGAAAAGCCCCTCGGACACAAAGGGCCCCTTGCCGAGGACGCCGCGCCTCTCCCTCTCCGCAACGGGCGCTGCGGGGCTGGGCGCAGCGGGGCTGGGCGCTGCGGGGCTGGGCGCTGCGGGGCTGGGCGCTGCGGGGCTGGCTGCTGCGGGGCTGGCTGCTGCGGGGCTGGGCGCTCGGGGGCCGAGCTGTGCCGCTGTGCTCCCGCAGGGGGAGGCGCGGCCCTGGCCAGCCAGCGCCGTGCGGGGGGCGGGATACGGGCCGCGGGGCCCTGCCCAGCCCGGGCGGTACCGCGGGCGCAAGGACCGGTCCGCGCCTCCGCTTCTGCTCCCCCGCGGCGCTGCCCCGCAGGTAGGGGGGCGCTTGGCGGCGGGGACGGGCCGTGTCCCGGGCGCGGGTGCTGCCGCCGGAGGCGCTGCGAGCAGCGGGGCGGTTTGTTCCAGCGCAGCCGCCGCATCCCAGAGCTGTCCAAGCGCCCCCCGGAGCAGCGCTCGCTGGTAGCTGAGGGTTTCTCTTCCTTTCCCACCCGGTCCATGCGGACTTGCACGTGCGGCCACGAAGGACCTCACTTTGCAGCTGAACAGCTGGGGATGCCTCCTTTCTCTGCGGGTTTCGCTTGCTCAGGCTGCTCGAATGTGGAATCACAGACTGCTTTGGGTTGGAAGGGACCTTAAAGATCATCCAGTTCCAATCCCCTGCCACGGGCAGGGAAAACTTTGGTCTCTCTGTTAATCTCAGTTCAATCAGAAAGCTCATTATCTTGAGGCAGTTGCCAAAATGCTGCCGTTCAAGTTAAAAATGTCTTAATGAGGTTATCACTGCAGGGGAGTAGATGAACTGAGGTCAGTCAGTAAAACACCTAAAGGGCTAGTAGAATATTGCTTCTTGTATCGCATAGTGATGTCTTAAAGCCTGGTGGTACCAAAGTATACGCTTTGAGTTGTTTTTGTCTGTGCAAATACTCTTGGAATAGCTTTGGTTTGGCTGGGCTGGCCATTGCTTGCAGTGGCACTGTGACAGCAGCGAGTCTGGTGCCAGCATGTGAAACCTGCTTGAGAAACCTACTCCACGGATTAGCAGTTCCTGCAAAGTTCTTCAGTACCACAGATATGCTGATGGCAGGAGTGGTTTAAACCCATTTTCCCCTTCTCTGAGCTGAGTTGTAATGCATGACTAAGTATTTATCTGTTGAAAATAAAACTTCTGTGTGGCGATTTGGCTAAAAGTAGCATGGGAAGGCTGTTTTGTCTCTGCTGTGGCTCCATGCCTCTTGCAAGAGGTTGGTGATTGAGCCTGACCTGGTGAGTGGGTCCTGATCTGCAGATGTGGGGACTCAGGTTGAGCACTGTAGGCTTTCTGTTGTGGTCCACCTTTGTTAAAATACTTCTTTCCCTTGATCTAGCTGTGATGCCTGCCCTATGCTTGTCTTTGCTGAGCATTTGAAGCTCACAGTGTGGATGAAGATGACCTTTCAGCTGCCTTGTCATCTGCAAGCATTGAATAGCATCAGTGAGCTTTAATTCCCCTTAGCTGTTACGTGCAAAAGCCGTTTTCCGGGCATCAGCAGGAGCGTTAGAGCTTGCAGGCCCTGTTTTAAAGCTCCTGCCAGTGTGGTTGTTTGCACTGGTTACAAATAGATACAAAGTTGTTACAAAAGTTACAAATACTTTTTTAAAAGTTTTTGTGTGTGTTTTCTGTTTGCTCATTTTGTTGGTTTTGGGTGGGGTTTTTTGGTTTTTTTTTTTTGGTTTTTTTTTTTTTTGTGGTGAGAGCTGTGTTTTGATAGTCTCTTTTGGCTGAGATTAAGCCTCCTGGGAGAGGGCAGCCTGCATTCCTATGCACCTACCTGTGCCATGGACGTTTTGTGATGCTTTGCACTACCAGTCTTTTTCCTCATCTTACTTGTGAAGCATTTATGTTGCAGGCATGTTACAGGATTGAATTTTGCTGAATATTAAAGACTATTTGGAAGTATTGTACACTGGAAAATGTAGGTACCAGTTTTCTTCTCCTCTGAACTCAAAACTGTGGAACAAGTTGGTAAAAGACCCAAACTTTAGTATAAACTCCAGTGACTTAATACATTCTGGTGTATTTAAGTGACAAACATGTCTGAAAGTAGTATGTCAGAGCATAAGGATAAGGTCTCACAGCACTCTGGAATCCCTTAACGTGTCAGCAGGGCCTCTCTCAGTAACATCTGCATGAGCTGTGGCTGTTTACATCCTTCTCCTGGAGGAGTCATGGGATGATTTAACTTGGCTGACATCTGGTTTTAGTAAAGAGGAATTTGGGGTTCTTGGATCCAGCTGCATGTAGAAAAATAATGTTGAAGATTTGGCTCCTGGTCCTTTGTGCCCCAAGAGGGTGCAGCAGCAGCACCACAGCTCTTGTCTAACCAAGACATGGGTTTTGAGATGGTGTTATTGATGCTGAAAGGAAAAACCCGTGGGTGTGGTTTTCCAGTTCATAGCATCTGTAATTAGTTGGTTGGAGAATTGTGTCATTTGTCAAAGCTTTATAAATTGAAATGGGTGATGGTCCAGTTCCCCTTAAGGAAAAATACCACTCTCTGTGAGTGCAGGGGGGTGTTGAAATGGGGGCCCACAGATGCAGCGTCACCTCAGCCCTTTACAAAACCCAACTGGCCAAACCTCTCAGCATCCTGGCCTGAGTTCTGTTTTGTCCCTGCTTGTAAGGAGGTTGGATGAGATGGTGACCTAAGGAGCCCTTCACATGTTCTTGTGGTAGCACATGTAAACTGCTGAGGGAAATAGTGGCCTTCTCTGCATGGGAGTAAAGGACCTCCCAACCCTTTAGTGCCTGGTTAAAAACCACTGTGTGACTTGCACTGGGGTCTTCTGCTTTGGTTGAGTGAGGAGAGTACTAAACTTATCCTTTAAAAGTGAGAGGCTACCAAGTATGACTAAGAATATGGTATATCCTAGCTTTGTATGTCTCAGTTCAGCAAAATGTTTGCTTAATTTGGGATGTTATGGCCCATATGCTTCTATTCCAAGCAGTTTAAGTGCTTTCGGTTGGAGACGTAAAACTGCTTTAGTTGTGACGTGGTGTTTGAGCCTTCCTGCTGCAGATGTAAAATCCATATGGCAGTGAGACCTAATTGTAACCTGCTGGAGTTATTTTTCTCCTGCAACACATATGAAATATTCTTTATGTAGCTGGCTTGAAAAGACTGCCCTTAATTTGATATTTCTAATCAATTATTGCCTGCTAAGATACATGATTTTGAGTTATATAAGGTGCTTCAGTTTGATATCCTACATATCAAATATGGCTTGTATGATTTATTTGTTATTTCATGCCACGGACTTTAGGTAGAAGCCACTGACTGCAGCATCATTCATGGTGTGGGTAAACCCTCCCAGGTGTGTTGTGTCATGAAAAGCTTGGCTGAAATCAGAACTTGTTGCTTGAAAAGCTAGGTCTCTAAATAGGTTTTAGATTCAGATATTTATGAACTTTCTGGTATGTGTTGCTGTTTGGCAAGACCATTAGGTCAGTTTGCAGGGGAGTATGTTTTGTGAAGTTTGGAGAAAGAAATACAAAGCTGATGTAGTTTAAAGTATATTCCCCAAAGCAGATTACTCCAGGAGTCTGGAATGTGTTGGTGAGAGGCTTCAGTTTTAGTGAGATGTTGCTCCATTCATGCAGGAGTCTTTCCCCTCCTAAATAATTATTTCCATCTGCATAGCTTATTCCATCAGGCCCTGGGCTGCTAGTGCCTGGACTCTTGAGCTGTCTGCAAAACATGGGTCTTCTGTGAATCAATGAGGATCTTTCTCACTAAATCCTCTGTGCTAGCAGGGCATGAAGGGACCTTTGCTGTTGTCATAAAGAAACAAAATAGGGCAAACCTCAGTGAGGCATTAAAAACTGTTAAACTATTCTGGCCAGTCTTTCATGTTGTTTTCAATTTTTAAAGGGAGATATTTCAGGACCCTCACAATCTTCCTGTACAATGTCTGGCAAGCTCCTTATTCACTAATTGTCTGAGAGCTGTTTAATTTTTATATAATATGAACTTGAGTCCATCTGTGATACTTGCAACGTCCTTGGCTACTTGAGTGTGGTGGCCTATGGTCTGTGAGATGTCCACATGAACATATGTGCTTCCATCATACGATGGAGCCTGAGCGTTAAAAATGCAGCTAGGCACTGAATGCAATAGTAGAGACCTCAGTGTTTCAGTGAACAGGCAGACCTCTAGTGTGTGAAGGCCTGTCGGTTGATTTTTTGGTGGTAATGGACTTATCTCTTTGTCCTGTTTTGCCCTTTCATAGAAGGTTCCTTCTAGGACAATGGACTTTGTTGGCAGTGGAGGTTGGAACTGCTACATGTTATGTGTGTTTTTGGAATGGACTGCCCAGGATCTGGTGAGAACAGTGGCAAGAGGCTGCTCGACTGTTGTGTGCTGGTGG